AGTGGACCATGTTCTCTTCCTCTATCGAGCAATGATGGTTCGTGGGACTCCCGAGGCAGCTGTCCAGTACCGGCAGGCCAAACGTGCCGCGGCCCGGGCTGTTGCAGAGGCAAAAACCCGGGACTGGGAGGAGTTCGGAGAGTCCATGGAGCATGACTATCGGTCGGCCTCGAAGAGGTTCTGGCAAACCGTCCGGCGCCTCAGGAGGGGGAAGCAGTTCTTTGCCAACACCGTGTATGGTGCGGGTGGAGGGCTGCTGACCTCGACTGGGGATATTGTCGGGCGGTGGAAGGAATACTTCGAGGTTCTCCTCAATCCCCCGGTCACGTCCTCCGTCCAGGAGGCAGAGGCTGAGGATGTTGGGGCGGATACTTCCACCTCCCTGGCCGAGGTCACCAAGGTGGTTGGCAGCCTCCATGGTGGCAAGGCGCCGGGAGTGGATGAGATCCGTCCTGGTAGGACTGTCTTGGCTGACACGTCTCTACAACATCGCGTGGCGATCGGGGGCGGTGCCAATGGAGTGGCAGACCGGGGTGGTGGTCCCTCTTTACAAGAAGGGGGACCGGAGGGTGTGTTCCAATTATCGTGGGATCACACTCCTCAGCCTCCCCGGTAAGGTCTACTCCAAGGTACGGGAGAGGAGGCTACGTCCGATGGTCGAATCTCGGATTCAGGAGGAGCAGTGTGGTTTTCGTCCCGGTCGCGGAACACTGGACCAGCTCTATACTCTCCATCGGATACTCGAGGGTTCATGGGAGTTCGCCCAACCTGTCCACATGTGCTTTGTGGATTTGGAGAAGGCGTTCGACCGTGTTCCCCGGGGTGTCCTTTGGGGGGTCCTCCGGGAGTACGGGGTCCGGGGTCCTCTGCTGAGGGCTGTTCGGTCCCTGTATGACCGGAGCCAGAGCTGTGTCCGCATTGCCGGCAGTAAGTCAGACCTGTTCCCGGTGCATGTTGGCCTCCGCCAAGGCTGCCCTTTGTCACCGGTTCTGTTCACTGTATTTATGGACAGAATCTCTAGGCGCAGCCAGGGGCCGGAGGGGGTCCGGTTCGGGAACCACAGGATTTCATCTCTACTTTTTGCGGATGATGTTGTCCTGCTGGCTCCAACGAACCAGGACCTGCAACATGCACTGGGACGGTTTGCAGCCGAGTGTGAAGCGGCTGGGATGAGAATCAGCACCTCCAAATCCGAGGCCATGGTGCTCGACCGGAAAAAGGTGCCTTGCCCTCTTCAGGTGGGTGGAGAGGTCCTTCCTCAAGTGGAGGAGTTCAAGTATCTCGGGGTCTTGTTCACGAGTGAGGGGAGGATGGAGCGTGAGATTGACAGGCGGATCTGTGCAGCGTGCGCAGTGATGCGGTCGCTGTATCGGACCGTTGTGGTAAAGAGGGAGCTGAGCCGAAAGGCAAAGCTCTCAATTTACCGGTCAATCTTCGTTCCCTCCCTCACCTATGGTCATGAGCTGTGGGTAATGACCGAAAGAACGAGATCGCGGATACAAGCGGTTGAAATGAGCTTCCTCCGCAGAGTGGCTGGGCGCTCCCTTAGAGATAGGGTGAGGAGCTCAGTCACACGGGAGGAGCTCGGAGTAGAGCCGCTGCTTCTCCACGTCAAGAGGAACCAGTTGAGGTGGCTCGGGCATCTGTTCAGGATGCCTCCTGGACGCCTTCCTGGGGAGGTGTTCCGAGCACGTCCCACCGGGAGGAGGCCCCGGGGAAGACCCAGGACACGCTGGAGAGACTATGTCTCTCAGCTGGCCTGGGAACGCCTTGGGGTCCCCCCGGACGAGCTGGAGGAGGTGTGTGTGGATAGGGAAGTCTGGGCGTCTCTGCTTAGACTGCTGCCCCCGCGACCCGGCAACGGATAAAGCGGAAGAAAATGGATGGATGGATGGATGGATGATCAAATGGCAACATTTAGGTGAAAGAGAGTCCTCTGGAGATCCAATAAGCACTATGTCCTTAAAGAACCCATGACTTTGACTTTTCTCTGGTTTAAACATGATCACAGTGCTAGTTGGCCTTCATACACATGCCCAGACTAATTTTTTTTAATTGATCTTTCTCTTTCATTCTCCAGAGGCACAGAAACAGCTCGTTTCAAATCAAAAGCCCACCTCCAAGAGGTGATTGACAGCCGGGACAAACTGAACCAGCCAATCAGCCCCGCTGGACCAGCGGATCAGCTGCAGCTTTTGAGTAGGTCCTGTTTCAGCTGTTACCTTGAAACCGGACCTACTCAAAAGCTGATCTGACATCCTGGTGTTATTCCAACATAAAAGATGCTAACAGGGAGCCTCGGTTTGTGAGTACAATGCAACTAACTCGGCATATATCACAATGAACTAAATAATTAAGGTCTGATTCTGGATAAGGGACGTAGGGCTCTATGTGACAGATTTTTGGAAAAAGTTTATTCTCAGGTCTGAAATGACTCTGCAACAGTGAAAGCTGTACAGTTAGCTTTTGTCTACATCAAACTTAGCAAGAGGCTACCTCACCGTGCGGGCGGAGGAGGCGGGCTCACAGGCAGAGGAGCAGAGAGGAGCACAGATCCAAGCCTCTATGCACAAAATGGCTATAATTTTTGAGTGTTGTATGGCCCCCTAACTATTATCATAAATGTGAAAAACGAAGAAAAGCAAAATATGGCACCTTTAAACTATCTGCCTTCCTTTCACCTCCACAAACATCTACAGTACGCATGTATTGTACTATTATGTTATGTAGTATGTGTGCGTGTGTGTGTGTGTGTGTAATGGGTGAGAGTGCTTTGAATCACATCAGCATTTGCTTCATCTGATCCCAAAAAAAAAAAAACATAGTGGGAAAAAATTTGAGAAACCTCGGGAGGCCCATATTGAGAGAGGGATACGCTCCCACGGACAGACAGGCTATAGATCCAGGACTCAATTGTGTCCTTTGTGGATAGCTGGAATATGCCAATAATGGATTTAAAATAAAGAGAAGATTTATCGAGCAAACTCATCAGAAGAACAGCTTTTTAATTCAGTAGCCGTGTTAGCCAGTGGCATTGGGCCATGGCTGCAACACCAAAACCTTCTTGCTGAGGCGAAAGTGCTAACCTGTGCCACCCACGGAAATATCAATAGAATTTGAAAAGTCCATTTAACCAATTTGCCAAAACAAACATATGATTAACTGAATGGCTTTTCACAGTATCACAAGTATTACAATGAGAACACAAAGACAATATTGTCAAGAATAAAACCTATAACCTTCTTGTTAAGCGATGAGGCACATTCTGACACCATTCTTACACTTCAGTCTTGGCTCAGCGTATCACATGCTGTCTTTGTATCAGTTGCCCCAGTGCACTGCCAGCGTTGTAAATAAACAAACACAAGCTTCTCTAAGAGCCAAAAGTTAGTGGAAGCAGCTGCAGATAACTTAACCGCCATCTGCACCATGAATAATAACACATTACTTTCACTCTTTGAAACGTAATTAGTCATGAAATATTGAAAGCCATACACTGCTGTTATAAATACAGTGTTTTGCAAGTCATGGGACGCAAGCTGCTGCAGAGGAGCTCCAGTCCCCACCCAATCCTTCAGGTCAGTGATCATCTCAGATCTGTCAGGACAATAATCCGCAGGCTCCCACAAGGTTCAGTAATCTCTCCACTTCTCTTTACTGCATAGACAATCAACTAAAACAGCGAGCTATCTTAAGAAAAACATACTTTGAAAACGAATTATCATGAACCACAGACACTGAGCTTGGGCAACTGAATCGACAGAGCACAAGATACAAAATACAAGGATTTATTTGCCGTTTGCAGTAAAACCACATTGGAAAAACTGTGCAAGACTACCCCAGTGTGCAGCAGATAGCCATGTTTCCGGCGCATACGTTTAATACCTTTACCAATACCTTTTGTAAAACTTGTATTTGACCTTTTGAACAACTTGTACATTTAAATGTGATTTCTAAAACTTCAATTGAATAAAACAGTTCCTCCCCTTGGCATAACCACTATCCGTAAATGTAGCTGGAGAAGAATTAGGCCAATGGCAAAGAAGTGTGGAGCAAGAATTGTAATGTTTTCCAACCAATTAGGAAGCAGCAGGGCTTCTGTTGTAAACAAATCTCTCTCTTCACTATTCAAAAATGAATTTTAACTAATTACATTCATCAATACGATGATACATTCAAAAACACTGTTTACTATAAGGTCAAAAGCTGCGGTAAGGAAAGAAATACACAGAATTATGGTCCTCCACCAATCTAAATACACTTTTTTCAATTGACATCTGCACTTCTCTTGAAAAGAACACTAAGAGAGTTTAACATGTGTGCAAACTGTCAAGCTCATGTTTAAATAAATCAGTAAACAAATAAAATAATCTGCTTTAGTACTTACAGTAGATTGGTAAATAGTCCCCAAAATAGGCTAATAATTCTCATGTCAATATAGACCTGTGACATACAATATACAACTAAGAGATTTTATGCACTGTGATTATTTATGCCTTGTGTGACTGTCTCTATCTTGTTTTTTATCAGCACTGAGTTGCCTTGTGCGTGAATTGTGCTATACAAATAAACTTGCCTTGCCTAGACGCGACCATACGCTTTTTAATCGTGTTCAATGGCACAGCTAATATTATGATCAACATTTAATGCTTGTAACAGTGCAGAAGACAGCAGTCATTCTATCCATCATGGACACTGCATTACTCCCACACTCACTGCCAACATGGCCACAAAAGAAAATGTCCTCTCGTATTGATCGCAAACTCTGAACAACTGATCTATTTCAGAACACCTTTCAAACCACAGTGGACAGTTTTGCCAATCAGTCGTCTACAAATGCTGAATAGACTCTTACTGCTTACTGTAAAATGTTAATTTAATCGATTTTTTTTGTTAACACATTGATATACATGTTGTGCCATTGTTGTCTGTAAGTAACAAAACTGCATGCATTAATAAAGTTATGTTGATTGATTGGTTGCAAATGCATGAATACAGACCTCCCAGTCCAGGACGGAGGCTTGCCACTGAGCGATCTTGTCGATATTTTCCAGCCTCCTCTTCCTCTCGTTGATTTGCTGAGTGACGTTGCGCATTACAGCCAGAGCCGCCGCCACGTATCGATAATCACTGTGTAAGAACAAAACAATGCATCTGTTACAATCGCCCGTGACAGCCTAAATGATACAAATGATACAGGGTTTTCTGACATTATACAATAACACACTACTTGAACGGTAAAGATAAGAAGTTGCCAATTGTTTTGTATCAATCTTTCTAAGACGTCACAACGGGAATAACACATTTTACATATTTTGTAGATATATGAACACTGTGTTGCTGCCCTTTCTGTTTTTTATGTATATTTAAAGGGGTACTCTCCTTTCTGACTCAAATTCATTTTATTAGCCATTTGCAGTAAAACCACATTGAAAAACATTTGCAAAAGTCACAAGAGTGCACACGACAAGTACATAAACAAGAAAGGTTAAAAATACAGGAATAAAACAAACTTAAAAAAAAAAGTGTAGGAAACAATTGACACTGTGAAATTGATCAACCAAAACAGAACAGAATATGTATTAGCCCCAAAAACACAGGCCCTAAGGATGTCTGTAAAATAGGAATGACCCCAAGATATCTGTGTTTATGAAGCTCAAGCGGATGTTCAGACTGAAAGACCGAGTGCCTGCCAGCCTCGAGCCTCAGCCAATCACACAGCTCTGCCAGCCTCGAGCCTCAGCCAATCACACAGCCAGGCCAGCCTCCTGCCAACCCTCTCAGAGCAAAGCGGGCAGTTTAAAAGGCAGCCACTTCCTGACAAACAACGCTTCCTGAGGCTCTTAAACAACCATGGGCATGGTTCTCTGACCGCCGCTGCTGCCGGTCCCTGCTGCTCCTACTAATGCCTGTTCCCTGATGCCTGCTCCCCGTTCCTGCTGCTACTACTGATGCCTGCTCCCCGTTCCTGCTGCTACTACTGATGCCTGTTCCCAATGCTGCTCCTACTGATGCCTGCTCCCCGTTCCTGCCGCTCCTACTGATGCCTGTTCCCGCTGCTGCCTGTTCCTGCTGCCACTCCTGCTGCTCCTACCGCTGCCTGTCCCTGCTGCCTGCTCCTGCTGCTCCTACTGATGCCTGTTCCGCTGCCGCTCCTGCTGCTGCCTGTTCCTGCTGCCGCTCCTGCTGCAGCCTGTTCCTGCTGCCTGCTCCTGCTGCTCCTACTAATGCCTGTTCCCGCTGCTGCCTGTTCCGCTGCCGCTCCTGCTGCTGCCTGTTCCTGCTGCCGCTCCTGCTGCTGCCTGCTCCTGCTGCCGCTCCTGCTGCTGCCTGCTCCTGCTGCTCCTACTACTACACGTGCCGCTGCTGCTGTTCCTGCCGCTGCCGCTCCGCAGGCTCCCAGGCTGCACCCGTCTCTACGGCTCGGCTCTTTCAGACACGTATGTAACCTGGCTCACAGAGACAAGCGGCGCACGCTGGCGTGACATGGTCTGTTTGCCCGTATGAATCGCATTGTGGTTGCGTTGTACGTGCTTGTCCCGGGCCCGTGATTGTCCCGTGCCATCGTTTGTTTGGGGTCTGTTCCTGCTTTGACCCGCTCTGATCTGCTCGTCAGTGCTTATTGGCGCCGCTCCTTAAACACGTCCAGGCTCCGTGTCACTGCTGCTCAAGTCTCCTCCGTGAGACAGTTCAAACTCCAGCGTGCTTGGTGGCATGCAAAATTACATTTTGGAGTCTCCTTCTAAGGCCCGAATTGTTCGTATTAAGGCTTAATGTATCGGTCTCCGAGGCTTAACGACATATTGCACGTTCAGGGTGAATAGGAATCTGCAGCTTTGGCGCCTCTCTGATTTGGTTGCTCCCTAGACAAAGGCCTAATGTAATATTGCTCGCTCAGGGTGAAGAGGAATCTGCAGTTTTGACGCCTGTCTGATTTGGACGCTCCCATAAGGTGAAGAAAGTGCGTTTAGCTTCATGGCCCTGTCACGCGCATAATGGCGTATGTGAATGCATGTTGTATAGCAAGGCATGGCAAGTTTATTTGTATAGCACAATTCATACACAAGGCAATTCAAAGTGCTGAACAAAATAAGAAAGCATTAAAATCATAGATATTCACAGAACATTAAAAAGAAGGATAGAAATATATGTTTTGACCTTGTCTTAAACATTGTCAGAGAGGAGGCCTGTCTCGCATCTTCAGGAAGATTGTTCCAGATTTTAGCAGTGTGAATCTGAAAGGCAGCCTACCCACGTTAGTTCTGACTCTGGACACTAACAGGAGTCCAGTCCCTGTGCTCCTCAGAGTCCGGGCTGGTTCATATGGGACTAACATGTCACTACTATATGTTGGTGCGAGGCCATGGAGGGACTCGACTTGTATATGTGCATGCACATGTAGGTACGTAGTATACGTGCGTGCATATATGTTATGTATATGTATGTGTTTTATAGTCTTAAGCTCGCTTCGCTCAGTTCTCATCAGGGCTGTCTCTGCTCTCGTCAAACTTTCCGTAGTTTAATCGTAATTATGATTAGATGCTTTGCAATGAATGATGTGAGTTACCTTCGCTGGTCGTCGGGCTATTCCGTTAAAAGACAACCTGTTCCAACTGAGGCCAAGGGAATCTGGGTTCGTAAATACTTATTCGGTGTCGTCCATTCAACTTCAGCGCAGCCAATATAGACGCGTCGTAACCCGTTCTGAGATGTTCTGTTCTCGGTCGGGCTCGAATCCCCGCTAATCTGTAGCTAGCGAGACGACAGGAGGTCGTCATCAGCCAACTTCAGTTCTTTCATAGTTTGTCCTAAAGTTCGGACCAGTCCAATGCGGTTTCGCCTACGTGTCGGCCCCGGGACTAGTCTGGCGGACTGAAGCGGCCCTTGTACTGAAATCCTCGAGCCCCCTCCGCGTACAGTAAATATTGCTCATAGGGACGCGTTGCCCCAGCTCATTAGCAGTGTGTTTCATTTTATCCTGAGCAGGCTGGTGTCGATTATCAAAAGTAGTTTTATGCTTTGTTCCACCTCCGTGCGGAGTTTTGCATGTTCTCCCCTCGTCCGGCCGGTTTGCTCCGGATCCTCCACGTGCTCTGGCCTTCCCTCACTCTCTCCGATTCTCCGCGTGGAGTCGGGGGGCAGCATCCACAACGGTCACATGCTCTCTGCCGCACTCTCATGGCTCTGAGTCATCGTAACGGTTGCTCGCTCTACTGCTCGTTCTCAGGTGCCGCTCTGTTCGTACTTATTCTGCTCCGTGGCCGCTCTTTGCCGTCGTTCTGAGTTCCTAATTGCATCAAGATAGCTCTCTCCTGTCCAGAAGGAGATTCGGTCGGTTCTTGTTTAATCTCTCCCTTATGTCGCAGGGCGCTCTTGCTGCACGGCCGCGCCTTGCGAATTATTCTCGTAGCAATAGGCCCTGTCATTCCCGCGCGGGGCATGCCCTTCCTACGCGGGGCTCGTCCATCTCAAGCCGGGCAGGCGTCTGGCCGTCACACTGGCCACCCGGCACACGTGATGACCCTCATCGAAGGTTTCGTAGATGCTCCCTCAGCTTGGACATGGAGAGAGAGAGGATAGGAGGAGGAGGACCAAGGTCTCTTGGTCCGTCCTGTCCTCTGTCACGTCCCAAACAGGTGCTGCTCTTCCGGCTGGGCCGCCTCATCCTCGCAGTGCACGTCATTCCTCAGGCCGTGGTTCATCCCCAGGCTCCTGCGCGCTCTGCAACCCTGTTTTCCTGTTCGCAGGTGCTGCGCTGACCTCAGCTTCAGCTGCTGCCTGTCTTTCATGATGGCACCGCCTCTTCCACTTACTTATTTATATTTCACGGACGCGGCTCAGTCCGTGGGTTTTTGGGGGTCATATCAAGGCCAGTGGTTAGCTGCACCCTGGCCCCAAGGACTTATTACTAGTGCTGTCCAACGATTAAAATATTTAATCGCGATTAATCGCATAAATTTCATAGTTAACTCGCGATTAATCGCAAATTAGTCACACATTTGCGTGCTGTGTGCAATTGCTTTTTTTATTGAAAACAATGTGTAGTGTTATATTACACACTAACATTTGATGCAAAATCATCAATAAATGGATGACAAAATAAATAATTGGTAACAAAAAGCCCCTTCAATGTGTGTGTGTGGGTGTGTGTGTGTATGTGTGGGTATAGACCATAGACTGTATAGAAACATCATGGTGTCATTATGATGATGATAAACAATCTGTAAATATTTTGTAAATTTGTTCATGTAAATACTCTATGCTGTTTCTCTGTTTACCTTCGGTATATCTATGACTGTATACTGTTTGCTTGTATTGCCTTTTTTATTAACCCCTCCCCCCATCTCCCACTTCATGTCCCCCCCCCCCCCCCCCCCCCCTCCCCTCCTATGTGCCCTTCTGGGTTTCTTCTTTGGCCCCCTGTATCTCCAACTACATATTGTTTGTAATCTCTGTCTACAATGTATCTGAACTTGTCCTTTTCTTTGTTTCTATTTTTTTTTCTGTATATGTGTTTGTCTGCAATAAAAAGTAAAAAATAAAAAAAAAAAAAAAAAAAATAAAAAAATCTTTTTTTTTTTTTTTTTTAATCGCGCGATAAAAAAAATGACGGCGTTAATATTGATTTGCGTTAACGCGTTAATAACGCGCTATTTTGGACAGCCCTACTTATTACCCCTATCACTATAATCCCTGCATTCAACACTCCAAAAGGAAGGTGCCGTCACACTTTCGTTATGCATTATTTTTCCCCTGTCCAGATAAACACCTGATGAAATGCACTCCTCCATGCACGGAGAGGAGATTCAGATGGGCTGCTATTTCTCTCTCTGTCAAATGACGTCATGTTTGCGCAATGCATCCAAGCCCATTTAATAAATCCGGCCGGTCTCCTGTGATCTCCCGATTCTCCAATACCGGCCGCTGGATTAGAATAGCCGCCGCACTCCAGCCTGCTGGGCCTTCCTCACTCTTCCCTACAGCAAATGGGTCAATGGTCCACGGCTTGGTCCTGCCTCATCCTCTATCAGACTAAACACTGACACTATTCTGACTGCTAAGCGCTCCCTCTTCAATCTGAGGTAATTATCAAATACTCTGGTGGTGGCTAAGGCTCTTCTCTCACATAA